TCCTGCTCTAATTTTCCCTCTGAAGTTGAAGACCCGCTGAGACAAAGAAGTGAATTGTTAACAGCACCAAAATTGTACCAACACCAAGGCAGCATCCAGCTGGGCAAGGATGTTCTATAACTACACTGTTCCTTTTCCTTCTGAATTTAATGAACTTCTCCTCTTTAGCTGGTATGTCAATTGAGAACACACAGGACTCTCCTGTTAGCTAATCCTTAATACTATAAGGTGGAATATATAGATTTCTACATTCCATATAGATTTCTATACACATCTATTTCAATCTATACTGAAATCATTAGAGCAGGCAACAGTGTCTCAGTTGAAATCCTCAATCTGACCATTTTTTACTAGCTGCTTGCACAATGTTTAATTCATCATGCGTGGAATTACGTAAACTTGGGACTATTTTCATACATTGTATGTTGAACATACAATGCAATCCTGAACTTCTCATTCTCACTGTTGAATGTGAGGTTCAGGATTCAGGGGAATGCAGCAAAATACCTGAATGTTTTTAATTTGGATTTGGATATCTGAGCTAGGCTCTGATGTGGGTCATTGGCCTCAGCCCGAGCCATTACAATTTTCTGGAATGTTTTCCTTCTTTGTTTCTGCTTTGTCCTGTTCCTTTTTTGTTGTTCTTCCAGCTTTCTCTTTTCCTCAAGTGAATTCCTGGTGGGGAAAATAAACTAAGGCTGAATTCATTTTAAATCAAGAGCAAGACTGGAAAGAAGGCTTTGGAAAAGATGATTCAAAAAAGAAAACCAGGGTGAAAACAAGGTTGCCATGCGAGGACACAAGGTATGTGCCATTTTAAGGGATTCAGGATATCCTGGGAAACAGCAGTCATTTATCTCCTTCCTAGGGATAGTCTAAGAAAAATTCACTGTTTCTATAACAATTAAGTACTAATTAAGTGCTATATTTAAATGTTTTAAATTTTAAATTAGAAATAAGCCCTTATTAAGTCCTATGTTCACTGCATGGAAGAATTATGTACATGTGTAAAATAAACAAAATCTACTTTTAAGGTGTGTGTATAAGTAGAGCATCTCTAAAGCAGTTACCTGACAGCTTGCAGCCGCTGTCTCGTGGATTCTGTCACTTTGGGAGACTTAGACTTTCCAGGTCCCAAGAGATGTAAATTTGCATTTGAATGTCTCATCTGAGGTTTACATCTCGGAGAGGCAAATGGCCAACGTGTCTCTTTCAAATTTTCCTCATCCTCTTGAATGTCCTTCAGAATCTTCCCCTTGTTGGAGGGAATCTGGGGAGTACGGAGGTTGAAAGGCTCACAGACTGTCAGGTGCTTCACCTTCCGCTGCTGCAGGAGCCGTTTCTCAAGCTTCTTATGGAGTAGTTCAAAATTTGGAACACTTGATTTGATCTTGAGTTTCTGTTCTCTTTGCTTTGCTTCAGGGCTCTTGTGTTTCTTCTTTGTATTGGTCTCCTTTCCAGCCAGTCTGCTGTTGGGTAGAGAGGAATTCCGTAGCAACTCTTCAGCTCTCATCCTGATCCTGATTTTTCTGTAGAGCTCCTCCTCCTTCCACTTGTCATTAACATCTGAACTGTAAACCCATTTGGGAACTGGTTTTGCCTTGAACACTTTAACTTTCATTTCAGGTGGGGAAAGGTCTCTTAGTTGCATTTTCCTCATTTCACTCCTTTGCCTCTCCCTTTCAATGAATTTAAATGGTTTCTGGGAAGCCAAGAGCTTGAGTTTGCTCCTCTCCCGCACAGACCTCCTGCGTTCCTCATTCCGTTGCATGATGTCGTGGTACAGCGGCAGAAACACTGCAGCAGGCACTGGATTGGCTCGGAATTTTTTCTGGCACTCTGCTTCTTCCTCCAGTTGCTTCTTCAATAAGTGATTTTCCACCTCAATCTGTGACTTGGATTTAACATTCTGTTCCTTTTTCTTAGCTTCTCTGATAGTCATCTGGAAAGGCCTTGGCACGGTAACTTTGGGTGACCAAGCTTTCTGTTTCTTCCGTACCTTCCTGCACGGTGCGGAGCTTGGGAAGCTGTGCTGGATGCGGGAGGTATAATCTTCCACAGAGAACCCATCCCACATTTTTTCAATCTGTTGCTTAGCAAATGCAGAGGATCCAGTTTCACTGTCACTTTCCTTAAATGCTAATTCTTTGTCAGACACATCAGATACACTCCTGCTTAAGTGATCACTTAAGTCAGAGTCTGAAAAGGATTTGTGCAAATTTAGAGGCTGATAGGAGCTCTTGTCCCACGTTGGCCTTGAGAAAAGGGAAAAAAACCAACTTGTTTTGAGCCAGTCCAACACTGCTGCCAAGTCAGTAACTTCCACTTTAAGGAATGGTCACTAGTAACCAAAAAGAGCAGCACACTGGGCACCCACACCAGACCCTAGTTTCAGTGCTGCTCACCAAGTCAGTAACTTTCCAGAAAAAGGCCCTGCTGTACACCCACCTGTGAACCTCACAGTCCCTTAGCAAGGCTGATGAGCTTTTGCAAAGACTTTTCTGTCATTATCTGCTTAGAGGAAATGGGGAGAATAACACTTTTCCAGCCCCAGAAACAAACCTGCTGTTTCACAGGTATCTGCAAAGCATTTGAGAATCTTCAGCTAAGAAGTGCTCCCAAACTTACCTACAATACTTAGTAGTAGTGGTGTTTCTCTTGTCCAAGGGTTGTACTTCTTTCAAATACAGTTTGTTCCTATACATACTCTCCAGTTTTGCCATGGTCTCCAAGTGGGCATTCTTCAACTCTTCCAGCTTCAAGTAATACTCTTGATTTGAACTGCGCATCTTGGAAAAGTCTATCCACTTGTCACAGTCTCCCTTTAGAGGGGAGCTCTGCTCTCTGTTGGTGTTTGAGTCCAAGTCAAAGCTATCCTAGAAGAGATGTGTGTAAAATTTTCTGGCTTAGAGGAAAGGAGAATGAGGTTCTTAATGTTGCTTTTTCCTAATTAAGTCTAATGAATGATACAGTGACACAGAATAGAGATACCTGTATACAAATATTAATGCAGAGTTACATGAAATCATCTTATTCTATATTAATTTATATCCTAAGGGTCCTATTTAAATCCTGTAAAATTCCTAAATCTGTCCTGTAATC